TGCACTAGGAAAAAGAAGATCAATAGATTGAAAAAAATGAAAGTGAAGAAATTCAGGGTAAGCAGAAGATCTGAATGCCTTCCGTGGTACCCAGCAGCGAGCCAGCTGCACCAACGGCTTCAGGCACGGGGAAGTCACTGCCAACGTGGGCATAAGAACACCTTTGCAGGGGGAAAAGCTCTCTGATGTACAACTCACTGGTTCTGGAACAACCTCGCTCAAGACAAAGTTTCCTACTGAATAACTGTGAATGTAAAGAGGAATGGGAAAATAAAACATTGTCACACCACAGATGTCCAATCCGTTCCTTCCCGCCACACTCAGTCCTGGTCACGTCACAACAGCAAATCAAAGCTGCACTGGGAAAGTTCAGAGGCTGCAAATAAAAATCAGTGAACACCATAAAAAATTACCTAAGTTTATGTATTTGGAGCCTAGTGAGTTCCCAGGGTAGATAGTCCCTTCTGAACAGAACCTTTAGGGATTTGGTTGTCTTTTTTTCCTACCAGTACAGCCAATCCCAAAACATCCAGAAGCAATAAGTGGAATGATACTGCAGTTACGGTGTAAAAAAAGAAAATCCCTTTTCCTTTATAGTAATTTGCTACTTAAGCAGATTGTTAACAGGACATTAAATGATTTTCAATAAAATTAAACTTTAAACCTCTTCACTTTCTACAACTCAAACTTCTCCTGGTTGTTACACACTCCAGGGAACTACCCGAAGTCCCAAGAAAGTTCAGCAGCAGGACACTGCCAGTTCCTTCACTGCCTTTAGGAAGGGCAGATTTAGTAAGAAAAAACAAATCGGTTTTAACTGACGCAAAAAGGATTTATCATGAACTGATAATCTGCTTATTTCGTAAAATTAAGATACTCTTCAGCATGAATGAAAACGGTAAAAATCCCTGGAAATTAAAGCACCTAATAGACCGTATAAAGCTGGGTTTCAGTTTTCCTAGAGAACCCTGTAACTACACACATACAAATCGTGCTTATCTATTTATACGGAATTAATCAGGATTACCACTTTCATCTTGGCAGTTTCACTGGAGGCTGAAATCAATAGCACTCAATCAGTAAAATATGACTGTTGTTTCCACGCTGCTGAGGAATTTTCTCTATTAAGAACAATTTTGCCTTTTTTAAACTCAATAGCCTCAGGCATTATATTTAAATATTGGAGGCACAGGGGTGCATTTCATCAGGACAATCCAAAGCAGCACCCCCTGAGTGCCTGGGACTGTTTCCTTTCCACTGGCTGACATCCCAACACTAGCACAGATTCCTTCTAGGAAACCAGCATTAATTAGTTATTAGCAACAACTCCAGTTGTATCTCCTCATAGGCAATTCCAAGTGACACTTCAGACATTCTGCATCAATAAAACCACTGCATGTTTAGAAAAGTTGGCAACAAACACATCGGCAACGTTTGACACACCAAGTTATCCCCATGAAACTGGTGATGGCACAAAAACTCACTTTCAACCCCCCCCCATCACGATCAAGCTGATGTTGCCCAAGTGAAATGTTTTTATAGCTCGAAAGCAAAGGTTAAGAAACATTTTGTACTGCTCTTTGTGGAGTTTTCCTAAACTCCCACTCCATTTCCACACACTTATCACCCTCCTCCTCTTGGCCAGGCAGCAAACTCCAGTTAGGTGCCTGCACTCTTCGAACCTCTCTGCAAATCTTTGCTTGAGGGTTAATGTCATGTGAATCACAAGGGCATTTTATCATCAGGAACAACCAAATACTCTGATTTATACATGGAAATATCTACCATATGTAAGTTCCTTACTCAAACTGATAAGTTTGCACGAGGTAACTGAGCCAAGGGATTTTTTTTTTTTTTTAATGACACTTTTTGTTTGCTGCTTTTCCCTGTGATAAACATTAGGCACAGGTGTGTACACACACCCGACAGCTTTGAAACTCGAGTGTTAGCTTACTAGGAAAGCTTCATAAGCCAGTCAGGTAATTTTCTTAGATGACTAATGAACGTGCAGTGCAAAAGCCATGCAACTTGTCCATATGGAATGGGAATATCAAGCGGAGAGAGCGGTGCTCGGCTGACTCGGGACGTAACCGAGACCTGAATATTTCTGCTCTATTTTTAACCAGCGATATAATTAGAAATAATCAAGGAGCACGCACCAAACAGAAACAAATGACGACCTCCTGTTTCCAGGGACCCCAAACGATCCGTGCTCCATCCTCAGCCCCCCAGGAGGAGCATCCCAAGCAGCAGCATCTGGGAGTGGTTCCCACCACGCCGCTCACAGACCCCTCCGGTTCTGGGCACCTCGTGCAGCTCCAGGCCCACCAATTGCTAATTCTGTTCCACCAGGACTTCCCAAACCGGCAGTTTATCCTCTAGCAACAAAATACACATCGATTCCAAGGACTTTGAGAATACCAGGGAGAGACAGAACAAATTTCCTGCTTTTCAACAATCTCATTTGCAATCTTAATGGTGTATATACAGGCTATCACAGCTTTCCTGTTAAAAATTGACACCATTTTTATTCCCAATAATGCAATCCTGTATAGATCCAAGTTTATACATAAATCTCAACTCAGTAACAAACAGTTAAGATTCAGCAGTTAGATTTAACAAAACAGGCAAGATTTAGCTTAATTTGATGCTTCTTCCTGATTTTTTTTGCTTTACTCCCTTAGCTAAGTGAAACATCGTCCTAACTCTAAAATCAGTATCTCATCTCACCATATCTGCAGATCAACCAACTAGACTGGAAAACACACTATTGTTTGCAGACACACAAATAAATGAAGTTATACAGCTTTTTTTCCTAAAATAATTCAGCTGCACTCTTTTCTTCTTCAGAGAGCAATGACCAGCTATTTATAGATGGGATCAAATGTCCCTCCAACACACAGCTCCATACAAAGAACATGGGCTTCCAAATCTGCAACTTCTGCTCATTTATGGCATTTTTATCCACACCAAAATGCCAACATGGTGCGGGTTTGCATTAAAAACACAGCAAGCAGCACTTCACTCCTGACAAGCAGAGCTGGGAGTCTCACAGCTGAAGCTCCACCTGGACCCACAAACCTGGTGTTCCTCTGCCTCTCCAGCCCTCAGCACCAGCCCAAGGAGGCTCTTCCCAACATCCCAAAGAGATGAAGCTTCACCCAAAGCATGGGACAGAAGACGTGGCACTGTCACCCTCACATCTAAAACACCAAGGGGAGCACTTTCATGCCATGGAACATCTCTGCCTGACTCCCTCTCCTACGAGCAGGGAGGGACTTGCCACAGGATCTCCCCTACCCTGTGCTGATAAAAAAGCATGTGGAATATCCCCTATTTAAGAAAAAATAGCAGCAATCAGGTGGGAAACAGTGTGAATTAAGATGAAGTTCATCCACCACACATGAGTATCTCATCTTCACTGAGAACCAAGAGAGCCTCTCCCTCCCTCTAAAGACCAGGTACAAACACCCTCAGGCAGGGAAAGCCCAGCTCCTGGTCCTCATCAGGGATCCCACGGGACAGCACCCATGGACACGGCATAAAGGCACCTTCCACAGGAGAGAAAGAGGAGAGAGGGAGTTCAACAGAGATTCCCATATTTCCACAATGATACTTCTAAATTCCTGCTCCAATGAGGGTTTTATTCTGTGTTGTTTCAGCACATCACTCCCCCTTTGCAGACTTCATTCACATATTTGGCTCCAACAGACAGAACTTCACCTGCCAATTTGATTTCCTCAAACCACAAAGGATTGTTTTAAACTAGCAAAGAACAACCAACACAACCATAACACCAGTGAGCTGTCAGGAGAGCAGGAATACCAGAAAAGAATCATCACATGGCAAGATTTTAAACATAAAAAAGTATCTTAGCTGTTACAGGTACTTTGTAGATCTTTGAATCCTACTACAATATTTAAAAAAAAAAAAAAAAAATCTGCTTCAGGCCTGGAATCTGCAAAAAAAAAAAAAAAAAAAATCTGCTTCAGGCCTGGAATCTGCAAAGCTTAGAGTGTGTAAGAGAATAAATAAATATATTCCCTGTCAACAGGAGTCACCACACATGGTTCCATCAGTAGTGTCCAAAAAGAGAACTACTACAGACATCAGTGCCTAATGTGATTCGAAACAGAACAATTACACCATTTAACATCAGAGTTTAGCCATTCTTACTTTGCCAAGTTACTAAAAATCACTCATTTGACCAGCGGTTTTTTCCAAATTCCATTTGCACAGGTCTTTCTCTTAAAATACCAAGATTCAATCAATCTACCCGGGAATTTTTAATTTATTTTTTTTTAAATCCCAGCATTCAAGCCCAGATTTTCTTTCAAGCTTCCTACGAGCTTATTGCTGGCAAGGAGGAAAAAAGAAGTTACTTTTTAAAGCCAGTATTTGGCAAAACGAGCAGATAACATCGCTGCAAAGCTAGGGAGGCTTCTACGGTATTAACAGTCTCATGCAAGGGCTTTAGAGAAAGCCTTCTCCTGCCTCACCTGGGCCAGACTGCGTTTTCCGTAGCCTATAAAGAACCGGGATTCAATCACGGATCATTAAAGGTAACAATGGTAAAAGGTGTGAGAACGACCGCGGCTGAAACGCTGCCAGACCGCTCGTTTCTGGGCGACTGCGGCAGTTCCCAGGCAAGTTCCCCTCTGCCCACAGGTTGCCGGTACCGAGCCCGTGCCGCCTCCAGCACCGCTCCCGAGCGGGGACGGAGCCCGCCCGTGCCCGCCCGCCCTCGGGTGAGCCGGGAGCCGGGCGCACAGGTGGGGGACGCCTTCAGCGCCCGCAGCCGGGGCTCCAGGTGCCCCTTGTTCGCGGGGAGGCTCCGCCGGCGCTGCCCGAGGCGCGCAGTGGCCCCTGGCGGTGCCCGCCCGGGCGGAGCGGAGCGGGCTCAGCCCCGCGACACCGCTCGCCCCGCCGGGGCCGCCCCGCGCCGCCCCCGGCCCCGGACCGTCCGCGCCCGCCGCCGCCGGGGTGTCCCCCGCGCTTACCCGTGAGGAGGCTCCGGGAGCCGCTCCGCGCGGCGGGCGCGGGCTGCGCCAGGAGAAGGGCGATGCAGAGGGAGCCGAGGAGCCGCCGGGCTCTCCGCGCCGCCATCGCTCCGCTGCCCGCGCCCGGCAGCCGGGCTGCACCCAGCGCCAGCCCCTCCCCCGGGGGGCTCCTCCTGCCTTCCTTCGCTGCCGGGCGGGCTGAGCCCCGCGGAGGCGGCGGCGGCGGGAGAGCGGCGGGCGGGCGGGCGGAGCGGCCGCGCTCTCTCTCCCCCTCCCTCTCTCCCTCCCTCCCTCACTCCATCGCGGGCCGGGCTCCGCCGCTCCCTCCCCTCTCTCCCTCCCTCCCTCACACGGACCCCGCGGGGCGCGCGCCGCCTCCCGCCCGCCCCTCGCCGCGCGCATGCGCGCGCGCGCCTCCCCCTCCCGCCCCCGACCCCCGCGCCAGGTGTGCGCGCGCCCGGCCCCCTCCCAGCGCGCGCCACGGCGCCTGCGCGCGCGCGGGGGCGGGGCCGCCGCCCTCCCCTCAGGGGCACCGTCGGGGCTCCCCCCTTTCCCCTTCAAGCGATCGGGGCACGAAAGTTCCCGGGGTTTAACGCCGTAAATCTGTGTTTTCCCCTCTCCGGGACCAGCCCCGGCGTGGCTGCGGGACCTGTGTGTGTTTCGCGTGTGAAAACAGGGGAAAGCAAACCGGCACCAATCCGGGTATCCTCGCTGTGTGCCGAGCCCGAGGATGTGGGAAGCGAGAACTCCCTACGCCGTGTGCTGCTGGGAAGCGCAATCCACTACGACCGAGGAAACCAAAATCGCGCTAAATGTGTAAAAATAACTTGTGGAAACTTGTTTTCTTGGGGGGGTAACTCCGCTGCTCCGTCTGGGATGTCGCCCCTCCTAATAAACGTGTTTTTCGAGCGTAAATAAACGAAGAAAAGGCCAAACATGCTCCGAAAAGGCAAATGAAATGTATTTTCATCCTCCTGGGGGTAATTAGTTTTATACAGCATTTGCCATTTAAATCCCAATCATTGGAATGCCACATCGTTACCAGCCGGTTCCAGTCCTACTGTCGGATCCTTCTGCTTACAAAGGACACAATAAGAGCTATAAATATACATTCCTCCTTCATTAATCATATGGAGTGTACCCTTATATTTTTCCATCTCAGCTTGTTGCCCACTAAATTATATTTTTACAACGCACACGCTGTCCTTGCTCATTTTATTATTGACTAATTGAATCGTCTCTTTCAGGACATAAATTATGTAGGACCAGTGCTCGAGGTAACCCGGAGATAACCGGACCCCTGGGGCACTGCGGGACATGAAACGAGGGTACATCCCCACAAAAACGTGTTGCAAAATGTTCTAAAACTAGTTTTAAATCATCTGTTCCCCAAAAAATCCAGGCTTTTACACCGGGTGTATGACTCCTGCTAAGGAAAGTTTCCCTCGATAACCTCGGTGCGTGCGGCGAGGGTGTCCCTCTTGTTGCAGGCAGCTCTATATTCCCGTGAAATTACCCCTGATCCAGCGGGATTTGCAGATTTGTTGGTGGAGAGGGTTCTCTGCAAGGCGGCGCTGGCACAGCCCACAGTGCCCCAAAGCCAGGTGTGGGTCTGGCCGTGCACAGGGACACGGGGATGCGCGCGGCGAATTAAACACCGACGTGACTGCAAAGCACCGGCTGGTACAGGTGTCTGAAGTGTTTCTCCTTGTGAAACTTGCTTCATTATTTTATGTTTCTGTCAGGAAACAGGGGGTTTGGCCACTAAAAATATCCCGGAGCATTTTCACAATGGAATAATTACCTCCTCAGAAGGATGTTTGGGTTTCTCCACCTTACCCTTGCCGAGTTACGCTGCTATCTGATATGCCACAAGGATTACCAGCAACCAGCTGCAATTCATCCTGAAAATGGAAGCAGTGATTAAAAGGCAGGACTGGTAGTGTAACTTCTATTAAGCTGGTTAGGAATTCCCATCATAAAATCCTACCCTCAGTCGCATTTAATAGGGCCAGAGCAACCGCTGTGCTGAAATTTAAGCATCTGATGTTCGTATCTCAGGTTAAATTATAAACTTTTCCCCTTTTGTTCTTTCTGTCAGGGATTGTCGAATTTGTAGACGAGAACAGTCACCTTGTCCGAGGTGTTCCTTCAAGCCCCACAGTGAAAAACCCCCTGAAAATCCCACTGGTGCTCTGTGGAGGCTTCCCAGTGCTTCCGTTGCCCTGCAGTTCCATCCTCATCTCAGCCCAGGGCTGTGGGAGTCAGAGCTGGACCTGCACTTCCAGTTCCCTGCTGCTCTGGACCATGCCAAGGCTGCAGGTAGGAAGGGCGAGCAGGGAACTTGTCCTTCCAGTCCTCTGGGGAAACATGGAGCAGGAAGCTCCTTCAGTAACACACAGTGGAGACGGGAACTGGATTTGGGACAGGTAAGTTGGCAGGCACGGAGGGTCTGGAGAGAGACAGGTTCTCCAGGGCAGTGGAAGGGAACAAGGAGCTGGAAGGAAAAACAGGTCTGCCTGGAGGGAGGGATAAAGCAAAGCTCATAAGGAAGAGTCTGGAAGCCAGGCTGTTGGGAGAAGAATTAAAAACAGAGTAGGAACAGGAGAGAATTTCCAGGAGGAGGAACATGCAGCTTTAGGGGTACCCAGGGCTGTCCATACAGCCTGGGTCTGAGGAAGAACTTGCTGGGCACAGGGACTGGATGGGAGAGCTGCAGTGGGATGAGGGAGGAGGACCCCGAGTTTGGGTGTGGGATGCAGCAGGGACAACGGGAAGAGAGAATTCACTAGGGGCAGTGATGCAAGAATGGGAGTGACAGAGACTGAGGGAGGGAGGCAGAGCAGAAAGGTGAGAATTTAGGAATGGGAACGAAGACCAACTGGAAAACTGTTGGCAGCAGGTGTCTGACACACACTGAGAACGTTCCTCGTTCCGTGAGTGCTGGAGCGTGCGCCAACCACTACATCCCTCATACAGGGAGTGTTTCCACACTGCTGATGGCCTGCATCCCTGTCAGCACAGGATTAAATTGCTGGGCTTTCTAAGGGTATCTCTAGATTGAAAAGACATACATATTTATTAAAACAACAGTAGTCAGGCTGCAAAGGAACACACTCCCCAGTTATCAAACACCGGGATAAAGGCAGCCAGTGCAGAAGGATAAGCCTGGCTCAGATACTGAACCAAGGCCAGGGAACCCAGGCAAGTGCCTCAACAGCTTCCACTTAATTTGCTGTAAAAATCAGATGTAGGTATGTTATGCACCCTGAGAGGAACTGTGGAGTGAGCAAGCACAGCACTGTGGGTGGGAAGGGGTGACTGCTGCTCCAGAAAAGGGCCTCAGTCCTTAAAGAGAGCCTGCCCAGCACTGCACTAGTTGTGCAGTCAGCACTGCCCAGGTGCCTGGGCTGACATTTTAAAGCGTGATCTGCAGAAGTGAAGAGCACTTGCAGATAAATCTGCAATAGCTGAGAATGTATTCAAGTTCTGACTCAATTGGATGCTTCACCATGTTCTATTTTCTGACAAAATCAGGCCATCGAGTATTTCTAATTAGATCTCTAAAATGAAAAGAGATTTTTGTATTATTCTGTCTGTGCGCCCGAGTTCCTCGTCTGTAAAATAAGGGCAACACCAGTTCTCACTCCAGCGTTGGGAAAATGAATTAGAGTTTGTGAAGCACTTGGATACCATAGTGATGAGTCCCATGAAAAAGCTCAGGAGGAAATGAATAAATCTGTCTTCAGAACAATATTTGAATAGTGTGCTGTAAATAAAGCACAGGCCACACAGTGAACAGCGAGGAGAAAATAAAGTTATTGCTTGGTGAGCACAGTCTATTCTGTAGAACGAGCGAGGCCGGTAACCTGTTGAAAGAACAGCGTGTGATCTAATCACAATTAAATACTGGATCATAATGCAAATGCACAAAAGGGACAAATTACAGTCGCACAGGCCACCTTAATGTTGGTAATTCTAAACTTTTGGACTCTTGAATTGAAAAAACCACCACTGTTAGGCTGCAAAGGTGTAACAGATGTGTATAAATGATTTCCTCGCCCTTCAGTAGTAGGAGACAATATATTTACTTCTTCTACCTCAGACATTTAAGTGGAAAAAGTGTTTCTCTCTTCTTGGAGATATCTCAGCCTTACAGCCCAGATTTACTGGTGTCACTCACACTGGTGATGTACAGATTTAAATCCAGAATTTACCTTCTTTGGCAGTCTGTGCGTGATCATCAGAGACAGACAGTTCTCCAGAGAGGGATCCAGAGGAGGACCTTCATTTCAGTGATTAAAACGTCGTGTTTTGCTTGGAGTGCTTCCCATTCCAGACCAGCCCACTGGTTTTGGTGCAGAGGCAAGGTTATGGAACAACAACTCCCCTGATCTTCCGTGACTCCTCAGTCCCCAGGCTACACTGAGCCTTCCCGACTCCTGCTGAGACTTGGAGCCGCTTCAGAGCGGCTGTAAATTGCACTGGGTTATCTGTGGCCCACAAGAAGGGTGGTGGAATTAGGATTCCACTGTTCAGTGCCACTCTGGCTGTGCCTGTTTTTCTCACCGTGATTTCTCTATTGCTTAGCAGGATGTGAGGTGACACTGAGTCGTTACACCAATTTATTGTCATCCAGAGAATTTTCCATTACTGGGCATCCTCTAGCAGCTAGTTAAGGCAATTTGGGGAGAAGAAGGGGCTGCAGCACAAATAAAGATGTGCTTCATTAAGTTTAAGACTTAGAGCTATGAGATCCCTTAGTTTAACCTGCTGTGCTGCCTCCCCCATGTGTGAGGCATCAGCTCCATCCACGGACAACTCCTGGCAACGATGACCTGTTCAATTATTCCTGTATAGATCTCCACACTGACTCCAGCACCAGTGCCCAGCGAGGTGTGCTGGCTTTCATCATTCAGTAGGGGCTAGATTTATTTTTTTTCATTTATTTTTCACATTTATTGGTCACAGATGTGGTTTTGCAAACTGCTCTGAGGTTAAAAGTCACCCTCCGGACTTTGCCGAGCAAATTCTGGGTTAGCAGGCCATGTGCCAGAAACCCTCCAACCCCAGCACGTACTTCTGTCATTCCTGATGTCAACAGCAATTCCAGCTCCTCGCTGGAGTCAGAGAGGGTCACAAGTGGAGGCAGACCTTCCAATCACTGAGGTGAGCTCCCTGGGAAGTTTGAGAGGGAGATGGAGCTCCCTGAATCCCTGAAACAGGAGCAGGGCAGTTGGTGTGAAATGCTTTTAAAGCCTTCCGTGTCTGAGGGAGGGAGCTGCTGAGGTCTAATCCAATGTTTGTTTATTTAGGGATTGCAGAGCTAGATAGGGGGAACCTAGAATCCAAAATGCAGGGTTTACTGGAATCCAATCCACAGTTTAAAGGAAAATAATTATCTATTTGTTATTAGGATGTGCATAATGATGTGGGATATGGCTCTTCTCTCCAGAAGGAGAGAAACCCAGGTAACACTCAAGGGGAAATCCTGATGTCACTGCAGTCAATGGGATTTTTGCCATCCATGTAAGCAGGGAGAGATTCCTCTCTGGAAGCCTGTCCTGGGGTGACACTGTGCCACAGGCGTTCACAGTGTTTTCAGTGACACTGTGGGTGCTATTTTTCTGGTTTGGTGGTTGCCATTAGTGTTGTTCTCAGGTGAGATCATTACTGGGGACACACTGACCGCTGAGTCTCCGTTCTTCTTCCCCACAGGATGTGCCCTCACTTTTCAAGTGTCCCCATGTCTCCCTGAGCTACTGCATCTCATCTTTGGCCTGAAAGACTTTGCACATCCAGTGAGAGGAGACAGATGGTCCATGGCCTCTCGTGCAAACAGGATCAGCCTCCTCTGCAGCTCAGAAACCACATAAGCCAGGCGAGGATTCCAGGTGGTGTTTATCCCAAAGCATTTCCAACAATCCCACAAGAATGTTAATTACTGACACCAATAATCTTGTTCTCATTCATATAATGGGAGTGCCTAAAGGTCTTACCTGAGGTTGGGTCCTGTTGTATTAGACACCGTAGGATCGCACAGGGAAAGCAAATCCTTTCCCCAGAGAGGTTTTAGTCCAGGTTATCCTGACAGGAAAGCAGAACCACAGAAAGGTGTTGTGAGTCACCAGAGGTAGAGCAGCAGGTCCACATTTCACATCTCCCAAGTCCCAGTGCTCTGTAAACACCATCACATTTTCTCCTGGTGTCTGTGCCAGGAGGGAAGTCTCAGGGAAGTGAGACTGCAGCAGTCTGAGAGAATTCAAAATGGAGAGGAAAACCATGGAGAGGAGAAAGGATAAAAAAAAAGGAAGAGAACTGATGCTTAGCACAAAGAAACAGTCATTTGCCTCTGGGTTTGGAAAACCAAAGAAACAACCTTAGACCAGCAGCAGAGGATGCCTGGAAAATGCAGAGCCCAGCACACCTTACAGACAAACCTCAGGACCAACAGCAGCACAGCCCTTTCCTGTGTGTTACCTGAAAGGCCCAGCTGATGGATCAGGTGGATCAGATGAGCTGATGGATCAAAAGTTCACTGTGGGATCATATGGTGGGAATCCTTCGCTCCCCTTGTTCTTGGCACGTGGCAGGTGCTCCCCATTCCCACACACACACACACACAGCCCAAACACCCTGCACTCACTGACAGGAGGCCAAGGCACCCTTCCCAAGGGCTATGGAACACAGTCATCCCTCTCCAGCTCTGGGGGCTGGTCAGGGGGCTGGTCACCTGCATTTGGGGACTCCTGGAAATGGAAAGAAAAAGCCACGTTACCCGTGTGAGACACAAATGGATCAGCCAGAGTTAGATGAGCAGGTCCAAGCATAAAGCTTGAGACCAAATAGATTTGACTGTTGTGTCAACACCTACAACTCCCACAAGTGTCCTTTGCTCTTGGCCTGTATCTCAGAGCACGACTGTGGGTGTTTAAAACTGAATATACAGATATAATGATTCCAGGGGCCCCTGTTTGAAAAGAGTGGCTGAAGTGTCCCTCTGCTTTGAATGGCAGGAACTGGAGGCACAGATTTGTATTAGAACCTTGTGGCAGAATAGCAAATGTGAACAAAATTACCTTAGTCCACTAATTGAACAGTTCAAAACTCTGATGTAGTGACAACAGGGAGGAGGAGCTGCAGAAGCAGGAAAGAATAAAGACATTGGACAATAGCTTGGGACAGGAACAGAGTCCCTGGAATGATCTTGTTCGTGCACTCTCAGACAGCCCTTTAAAGTCAGAGTTTTGGCTCTGCTTCCTCTAACTGGAATTCTCCTCCAAACCTCATCACCCCTTCAAATGCTGGGAAGGAATTTCCTATAAATATAGTGGATTTTTCATGGAAGAAATATCATACTTCATTTTTACCATGCCATCTGAAAGAGGGACAAGCTCGAACAGTTGTAAAATTAAACTTTTCATAACGAGACCTTGTTTAGATGGGGCTTCCACTTCCCAGGCTCATAAGGTGCCCCTGAAAGACCCTGGAGTCCTGAGGGACTTGTCTTTCACCACAGGGTCTGTGCCTGCCAAAGCCCCTTCCTGCCAGGAAAGGTTGTGCTGCAGCACCTGGGAGTGCTGAGAAAGTCCAGATGAGACCTTGGTGATGCAGCTGTCAGAGAGAGCATGGAGGCCTCTTCCCAGGGAGCAACAACAGGGACACAGCCCTCATTTCCTAAGGAGAGACACGAGCTTTGTTCCAGGCAGTTTCTAGTTTGAAAGCAGAGCTACGCCTTGACTCGTTCTGCATATATTTTGTTTTTAAATTGTTTCTAACCTCTTGCAATTTTTAAGCATCTCCAAAACTAGGGCAAATTAGCCAACATTCCTTCCTAGTGCTCAGCAGTCCAGCTCCTTACCTCCATCAGTGCCGTCTGACTCCTTCTCAGCTGCAGGACTGAGCAACGTGGGCACACAAGGACAGTTTGAAAAGCAAGGAACACGTGTTGTGCCGAGGAATGGTGCTGCACTGACAGCTCCAGCACATAAAACATGGGCAGCCTTCACACAGGTGAAGTTTGACTCGCTCAAGCTGCCAATCTGGCACTTCTCACACACATTCATTTGACTTTCTTTTCTTGTTGTTTGTTTAAACATCCCTTCAGGGGAACAGGTCTGGAAAAAATTCTCCCACCTTTCCATGCTCCTCCCAGGGGACCGGTGATCAAAGCCAGGAGGGCTCTGATGGGATGTGGGATGTGAAATGCAGGTGATGGTGAACCCTGGGATCTCCCTGGATCTCCCTGACAGGCATATTGGGATCTCCACAGCTGCTGTCACACTGGGGTTTTACCACAGAGTTTTACTCCCTTAGTACCTGAACGGCAGCTTTAGAAATCAAATTACAGTGTGAGTGCTACAGGCTGCAGCCCCTGACTGAGCCCCTAAATCAGACTAATTGAAACAACAAATATGCCTGAACAGCAGCTCCCTAAGAAATGTCCTTACAGTGCTCTGCTTTCACTCCTGAGGGAGCCTGACGGGACTTATTGACTGCCTGGGATTTCTGCGACTGCCTGTGAAGTTTATTGATTCGAAGAAATATGAAATGTGCTTCAAAGAGCTCAGAATGTGACTCTGTGTCCAAGTGAGACACAAAGGCTCTCAGAGATCCTGAATGGAGCAGAGGGAAGGGCAGGGAAGGAAAGGCTGTGAGCTCACACCAACAGGGATTGGTGGGGTTGGAACATCTCTGCCCCAAAAAGAGGTGAAAGTGCTGATCCACCTCCCAGTGACCAGGGACCACCACACTGTGCATGTTGCTCAGGCTGCTGCTCCACCTGCCCCCCTCCAATAACACACATTTTTGAGGGATGCTCTTAGAAGGACCAAGGGTTGAAATGGCATTTCCTCCTCCCAGAGTGGAAGGTACGGGCTGGCAGGGAAATCCCAGAGGAAAATGCTCCCATGCTGTACAGGCAATGGACATTTTTTGCACAAGGAAGGTGCCTTCACATCCTCAAAGGAAAACAGCTAAAAAAGATCACTACCAAAAACTGGAGGGAATTTAGATGCTCAGAACAAATTTACATTGCTGAAAATGGGGGATTGGTAGAGAAAGAAGTTTGGGCTATGAGAAGTTATCAGAAGTGCCCTTCATTTCTGAAAGCACAGAAGTGTAGGTGTTCAACAGAAATCAATTTGTCAAAAAGACCCTCCTTCAGTGTTCCAACACCTACAGTGGGGGCTGAGCAGAGATTAAGGTTTCTGTCTGTGCCATTGGAACATTTAGATTCTATAAAGCAAAGCAGTGGCATTTTTCGGCCACGAGCCCTTTGAGGCAGGCAACAAATAAGAGAGGTTTGACAGAGGGAGAATAGATTTCTCACAAATCTCATGTTTTCCCAGTCCCAAATGGCTGCAATCTGCCTCTAACCCCTCCTTCAGGCTGATGGCTGCTCCAGGATCTGTTGGGTTTGTCCTTTCAGACGGGAGTCTGGTGTTTTCCTGTTGACCTCCCACCCACTCACCAGCAATCAGTAGCACTCAGCTGCTCCTCTGGGGTGTCATTGCGGTGTCCACCACTTCTCAGGCTGCCAGGACATTCTGGGAAGCACTGCCTTTGGACAAGGCAGCATAAGGGAAGACAAGCAATAGTATCACTGACGTTTCTTTCATGTTTACTGCTACTACTGCTGTCAATGTGTGTTTTCGCTCATGGACTATACTTAGCTTGGAAAGAAAGCTGTGAAACACTACCACTGAAAGACATACCTCAAAAACACTACTGTTCTCTTATTCACTTTTTTGTTTTTTAATTGCATCCAATTTCAGGCAAATGCAGCAGCCCACGGGGTGTGGAGCCTCCAGAACCCCCCTGCAGAAGCACCCGCTGTGCACAGGGAGCAGTGGGAACTCGGACATGGAGCAGGACAGATCCCTTACTGTGAGCAATTTCCACACCAGAAAGATGAAGTTGTTCCTGTTCCTGGCTACAGGCAGTTCTGACACATGAAAGGTTTTACTAATTTTCCATCGAGGCAGGTGAGTGATGCCAACCCTGTCAGATGTGACAAAGCCAAGAAATCTTGCACTTCACCTAAAACTGACACCAAATTAAAGGAGTGAAGGGATAGATGGGATATTGGGAAGAAATTCTTCCCTGTGAGGGTGGGGAGGCCCTGGCACAGGTTGCCCAGAGAAGCTTTGGCTGCCCCATCCCTGGAAGTGTCCAAGGCTGGGTTGGACGGGGCTTGGAGCAACCTGGGCTCCAGGGAAGGTGTCCCTGCCCATGGCAGGGGGTGGGACTGGATGAGCCTTAAGGTCCTTTCCAACCCAAACAGTTCTGGGATTCCACGATTCTGTGATCAAGAACATGGGAATGCCAACACAGCTCCAGTGTGGACATTCCCTGTCTGGATTTCATGGGCCTGGGGAGGGTGGGGTGACACTGCAGCAGGAGGGTACAAACCACAGCCTGAAAGATAAATGGACATTAATTAATTAAAGTTGAGCACCAACTTATGCACTGCTAGGAACTTAATTAACACTCCCCCAAAAGCTACCTGCAGACTTTTGGAACTGAGCAGTGGCACAGCTCTGAGTCAGCCCCTACACTGGGGACCTTCCCTCTGACCAGAGGGATCCCTTGTTAAATGTATGGGGAAACACAGGCAGCAAAAGGGATGGTCTGGAAAGTCAGCAGCACATATAGTTGTGTTGGAAGGCCTTGCTCACATCAGAACACCTTCCCCAGGCACCTGAACAAGAGAATGTGGATTTAAAAACAAAAAATAGGGAAGGCTGCCCACGGTGCTGAGTAAACCTGAATGGAGCACACCCACCTTAAAGCTCATCTCCCATATGGAATTTTTACATGGAGTACAGCTGACACCAGTGGAAGGGGTGAAAAGGCTCCCAGCTCTGTGAAAGATAAGAGGAAATGCAGAACTGACAGCAGTGGACACTCATGGGTCACCAGAGAAAGGGGAAAAGCACAACCCTTTGTGATTACAGTCAAACACAAATAAATAGGTTGGAAAAGAACACTTTTTATTTCCTGCAAGCAGTAAAGTTTGGGGGAAGTGGCCTATGCCAAATATTTCTCTCTGCTGGAGGCACCAGCAGGGCTCTGACAGGCACGTTGGAAAACAGACCATACGTTTGTGCATATTCCACAGCCCCCCTGGGAAACATCATTCCTCAGGCTGCCGTTGGGGCTCTGTTTGGCACTTGAACTGTTCCAGGGGCTTTGATAGCCCAGGATCTGAGTAGCTGATGTTTTGTTCTGAGGGAAAAGAGCAGAAGCACATGACCAGAAGCTCTGATCAGCTATTGAAAGACCCAGACCTGCAGAGCTCAACCAACACAACTCCTTTGTAATGGAAATGCCATACCTAGGCATGAAATTAGGGAAGCAAGGAGTACAAGCACATTACAAGAAGATTGAAGTCATCCCTGGAATTCCTGCCCCAGCAGAAAAGGATGCAAAGTTAAGACACCTCTGAGTAGTGAACTGTCGACCTGATTTAGCTGCCCAAGCAATCAATGACGGATCTTTAGGAGTGTTCAGCAGCCCTAACACACAGATCTTCCCAGGAAAACTGAAAGGAGCTAATTAATAGCCCCAGATAAACAGGATGAAATGCAAAGCTGGACATAGATCTTTACAGACCGGTGCTGACTGTGCTGAATTCTCTCCTTGCACTCCCACTGCTGACCCCAGTGAGGCAGAAAGATTAATCTTGTACAAAAAGCTTTTCCTTTAGACTTTTTGTAAAGCACTTTTAGGCTCTCTGCTCGAGTCTTTCCCCTGGTTGCAATTAGAGGTAGTTTAGTCTTTGCTTACAGTCTTAGCTGGGTGTAGTTTTGCTCTCCCCATCCCCTTCTAGAGGAACCTGAAGTGACACCTCTCCATCCTTACTCCTGTGACTGCTAGGAGGTGAATTCCCTAATAAACCAGACTGTTTACACTCCAGATGGACTCTGTTCATGCCAGTGGGGCTGCCCTATTTGCAGTGCAGGTTGGAACCCTCTGGTGCCCCAAACTCCAGCGAGGTAATGATACTACTCAGAGTTAACACACAAATCCCTGGGCAGGAGATGCTGAAGAGTCATGCAAATAAATCCTCATTGTTCCCAAGAGGTGCAGGGTAAGGACCCTCACAGGAGCTTTAGGAGGAGTTTCAAGGCTGGTCTTGAACACAGGATGCTTCCTGGGTAACGTCCTGGGGGTCATTTGGCCTGTTCTAGAAAAGGTAAAAAGACATGACTTTGCTTTGAGGACTGCACTGCACCCACAGGGCATCCACCAGCACCCCAGGGCAGTGGAAGAAGGTACCACCCTCCTCCACCAGACCAAGGTCATTTTGATCCAACTATTTTAGGGAGAAGACCAGTCTTGCCATCAGGAAAGGTCTGTCTGGGAAGACATACCCTCGAGTGCCTTTGAGAAGGCAGAAGAAGTTAAATGCTCAGAATTGAGAGTGTGCCTGGCAGAGGCAGCTCCTGCAGCAGGGAAAGCTGAGAGCAGGTTTTTCAGGATCAGGACTTTGGACTAAGGTAACTAAGTTTTGTGTAAATGTCCCTTCAGATGTCTGCTTGGATCCAGCCCTAAGTCTCCCTCTTTCTTGCAGTAGGGAACAGTAATACTTCTGTGGTGTTTCCCAGTGTCACTGTTAAACAAGTGATCCCTCTTCAGGACCCAGCGTGGAAGGTCCGGCACAAAAAAGTTTCTATTTTGTAACTAAGAGGTTAAAGAGGACATCAGATAACAGGGGTAGCCTGAGGGCACTGAGAGGATTCAGAAAATCACAGAATCCCACACTGGTTTGGGTTATAAGGGACCTTAAGCTCATCCTGTTCCATCCCCTGGACACCTTCCCCTCTCCCAGGTTGCTCCAAGCCCCATCCAACCCAGCCTTGAACACTTCCAGGGATGGGGCAGCCACAGCTTCTCTGGGCAACCTGTGCCAGGGCCTCCCCACCCTCACAGGGAAGGATTTCTCCCCAGTATCCCATCTAACCCTGGGATTCAGAGAGATGTAATGTGCTTAAGAAAGGTGAATCTTGAGCTCCAGGGCTGCAGCTCCAGGAGGTGCCTTCCTTTATGGAAGCTAAGGATCATTAAAACCTTCCAGAGAACAACCATGAGATCCAGCCAACACTCCCCCTTCTCCCAGCTCCCACTTCCTAACACAGGCCCTTTGCTGAGGAGGAGGAGCAGGGCTGTGCTTGGCCTGATTTGGAAGGGAGACATGAACCCCGCTGGCTGGGATCTGGCATTATCCAGCTGCACCTCAGTCCTCCCTGACCCATCACTCTAGTGACCCAGAAATCCTGGAAAATAAATAATATTTGGAGTTGTCAGGTCATTCATCTACACAAAAATCTATCAGTGGTGTGCTTAAGGGTATTACCAGAGAAGCCAGGAATGTTCTTGGGATTGGAGACCAGTGGGCAGAACATTTTTTGGAGGCCCACACAAAAACTGTTGGGTTGTCCCAAGCCAATGTCACGTCCCAGAAGGACATCAGAGTCAGCACTTTCACTGCTGAAACTACCAGCAACCAAGAGAAATACATTAAATATTAGTGGGAATATTGAGAAATAACAAAAACTAGTCCAGAAACCGCAGTGGTATGTGCTCGAGGACATGCCCAGGCACGTGTGTGCAGCCTGTCCAAGGGACCCGTGGTCATCCCAGATCCTGGCTCATGAGCCACATCCAATCCCTGAAACCTTCCACTGCCCTGAACTCCTCCTGTAAAAGGGAGTTTCATGGACCATTTTAAAGCTCTAACAGCCTCATTTTGGTTTGAGCTCAGCTTCACTCCTGGACTGACAGGTATTTGGGAAGCTGCAAAGATTGTGAGATCATTCTGGGAGAGAAAACTCCCCCCAGGCATCCCCCCACACTCTGTGCCCACAAACCTGCCTTCAGGACTCATGGTCCATCCTGCAGCCTGGAGTCTGAAAGATGAGCAGGGCATGGAAAGAGCAAGTGGGAACCTCTGGAAACCTGAAATGCTCATGGGACTTGAGGAAGGGAGAGAGCACGAGCACTGGCCCCTTGTCCAAAGGCTGCACATCAAAACCCCCAATCACTTCTTATTCCAGCACTCAGGAACTCAGTGGAGTCAGCACTGGGATTTAATTGCTGGAAAAGGAGGAAACTCCCATTTGCCTGCACAAAGATTGGGAGTTTTCTTCCTCTACTCCAGTGGAAGTTTAATCCAGCCTGTGTCCAATGGCCTGGTCACCACTGCCTCTGCCAAGCACGAATCCAGCAGAGTGAGCTGGGTGTTGGGAAGAGACCTGGGCTGGACATGTGCTCATACAACTTCATTTAGATCTCTCCTGATGGGAGAAATTGAGAACCAAAGATGTTCCCACCAAACCTACTCATCCAATTACTGGAGAACTTTGTGATACGGATCAGTGTAACACCCCGAGCTTTCCCAGGACAGAGCAGGAGTGTGCAGACACTGCACTTTTGGGAAGCATCAAGAGCCAGACACAGGAGCTTTGTGGCTTTTGTTCCTTGGTTCTGACTTGCTCTGACTCCTCACCTGCTCACCATTAACACCCCGTGGTGCAGTTGTGTTTGACGTCCCTGTAACAAACCCTGATTTATACGGCCCTGCAAATCCCTCCTCCTTTGTGTGGCCTTGGGAGCAGTGAGACAGGAATGCTGAAAGGAACTAATTTGAATCACTCACTACCAAAGGAGCAGACACCTTCAAAGAGCCTTACCTTTGTGAATAAATGTCACCCTTCCCAAACAGTCAAGGTTTTTAATGAAATGGTGCTTTTGGGGGTCAGCAGAAGAAGACAAATACTCCAGTGAGCAGACTGAAAAACCCAGGTGAAAGCATGACTGAGATTCACAGAGCTACAGAATAAAGGAGAGGAAGGATCCAGAGAAAAACCCAACGTGCTACATTCATCACTCAGTCATTCAATTACAAGGATTTGAGCAGCTGTCCAGTGAAAGGAGTTCACACTCCCTATTTTATGGTGTGTCTCTGGTGCTTTTCCACATGGCAATGCAGCAGATGAGCCGTGCTCCTTTCTACACCCATTCCCTGTGGGAAATCTGCAAACCATCATCATCACTGATGCTCACTAATTTAGGATCCATGTCATAACATTCCCTGCCTCCAAAGCATGGCCACTACTTAACGCCCTGCTTGCTTTAGGAATGTGGTTTTCCTTTGGGCCGACGGGAACACCATGATTACGAGCTGCATGTGCCAGAGAGGCAGGGTGGGTGGGGAAGGAGAAGGGAGGCTTCAGCTCAGCAATGATAGTACCTATTTTTGGCTCCTGGAGCCAAGCTGTGCTGCTCCCACTCTGTTTTGATGCTCCAACACGTGTCACTCGAGATGTCACCAATCCCCGGCAGTCACGACAGTCTGGGGTGCTGGGATTCAGCGTTGTGGGGGAGGGAAGACAAGCAGCAATTTTTCTGAAGCCTGTGGCAGGAACAAACAGTATCGTGGTGACAGTTATTTGAATGTCAATATTTAGAGGAGGTGGTTTTTCAGTCCATTACAACACAGGATCTGTCCCTGGCTCTCCCTTCCATGGGGCTGCAGCAGGACATCCCCTCCTCTGGAACATCCACCCCTTGGGCGACCATGGTGATGTTTTAAGATCTGGCTAAACACGCTGCAAGACCAAATGGTCTCTTGCTCCACTGCCTGGGACACATAAAGTACAAACTACAGTGTAGCAGGAGTGAATTCACATCCCAAGTCTGTTTTACAGAACTACAGTGCTTCCTGGGGGCTGCACAGTGTTTTCACAGCTCTCTAAGAGCTACAGTCACCAATTCCCCTAAGTGACAACTTATTTACATCCCAGAACCCTCAGACAGCACAAGCCAAAGTCTCTGCTTGCATCCCCTGCTGCAGGTACCCCCAGTTCCCTCTCCATGGCTCTGCTGCAGGAGACAGCCCAAATCCTCTCTTGAGACTCAACACTCAACCTGGGCACCTCTCCCTGGCCAAAGGGGCTCCCCACAGCCAGGCCATGCTCCCTCCTGCCCCAGCAGCCTGTTCCTGCCTGGCACCATCCCCTCAGTCCTGCTCAGACAACACTCAGGAGGCAGATGAGACAAAGCTGTGGCTGCCCCATCCCTGGAAGTGTCCAAGGCCAGGTTGGACAGGGCTTGGAGCAACCTGGGATAGTGGAAGGTGTCCCTTCCAACCCAAACTATTCTGTGATTCCAAATCCAGTGGGATCCAGGGGAAGACAAGGCAGAGGGTGAGGAGGAGCAGCTCCCTTTGGCACTGCTGCCAGAACACAGCCCAGCTTGGGCATCTCTGATGGGCAGCACCAGCGCAGCCGGAGCCAGGCTGGCACTCTGGGAAAGCAGGGAACCAAAAGCCAGTCCTCTGGCTCTGCTGCTCACCTACCACAGGAACAGCTTTTCTTTCATCAGCTGCTTTCCTTCACTATGCTCTTGTTCAGCAGCCCATGCTGTCGAGGGGTTGGAAAGACAGAACAGCTTCTCCAAACACAGAGCAGTTATCTTTAGAAATGGAGCAGTGAAAGAAAACAACACCATGTAGACACTGTGAAAAGAAAGGGTTCACTACATTAAAAAAAAAAAAGTTACATTCTTGATCAAGGAACAAACCAGTCTGAATAGTCACAGTCACATCTTGCAGCCACATAACTCTTATTGTCTTTTGCTCTCCCAAACATCTGAAGAGGAACATCTGAATCCTTTACATGAGAATCCCTTAGACCACCTTAAACTGGCAGAAAATACTCAGCTGAGTATTGACTTGAAAAGATGGAGCGAGTTCAGACCTGAGCTACCGATCCCTGATTTTGGATAGGGGCTGGCACAGCTCAGCTCCCCAATCCTGACCAACCCCATCCCGGCTCCTGCCAGCCGTGCACAGCCCCTGTGTCCTGCAGCTCCATCCTTTGAAAGAAAGGTTGCTGAAGGAGCACAGCACTATTTTATTTAATCACTGTAGAGTTTTGGTATCCACAGGAAAAAATTCCTGAAAGCAGAGTGTATTTTCAAAATCAGTGAGTACAGAGTGGTATAAAATGTCTGCTCTGCTTCTTTCCACTCCAGCCTGTGCCTTTGAAGTCATGGTAACAGCTTTTGGATCCGAACCCTCTGATGAGACTCCTTGATTTATTAGGTAAAACATCTGGAAAAAATGAGGACTTGTGGCAGTGTAAATCCTCCAGGAGCAGAGAAAGATCTCATCTGAGCAGCACTCCTGTCAAAAAGCAGGGAAACCTGAGCCCTGGCCACTGGCTTAAGGATGCTCCGAGGCTGCAAAGCTCAGAACGGGCCCATTCCCGTTTCCCCCAGTGGCCCAGACCCAGCTGTGAGCAGAGGAACGTCCATCAGCCAACAGCCCTTGGAGCTGGGACCACGCCAGGGCTCTGGAATGGTTTGGATGTCAGCAGCAATCCTGCCCTTGGCATCAGGAAGGAGCTCCTGTTGTAAATCACGGCACACTGGGAGCACTATGGGATGTAAGTACCTGCCTCCCGCCCACAGAGACACAGGCAGCAGCCAAGCCCCACACACAGAGCGGGTGGAGAAGGGCCGGGGGACTTTTCCATCCCCCAGTTACAACAGGAATGTTGGGGTGACTTTTCCATCCCCCAGTTACAACAGGAATGTTGGGGTGACTTTTCCATCCCCCAGTTGTAACAGGAATGTTGGCTCCGGTGGAAGAAGAAAATGAGCAGCCTTGGATTGGGCTGCATTGGAAGTAATGAACCCTGTGCAGGTGACAAACAAGGAGACAGGCATTTCAGGGAGCATATTCCTTCTTTCATTTGGAATCAGCCTGAGGTAAGGCAAAGAAAAGAGAGGAGACAGGGAGCAGCAGAGCAGCTTGGTGTGCTTTGGAGTTCCTGCTAACAGCTCCTCCATGGAACCTGTGTGATGGGAAAACCTGTGTGTGAGCACCATGTGTGTATCTGTGCAAGGTGTTTGTTAGATGAGGGCAAAGGCAGAAATCAGGGAGGCACTTGACTCAGAATTATTTACTCTCTGCCTCCTCCACACAACAACCCATGTTCCGAATTTCAGCGCTGACGCTCTGGGGAAAATCCCCCGAGAACCCTCCTATGACAGTTATTTTCCCATCTAAATCCCCCTTCCAGCAATTTGAATAACACAGTTCAAACACCAGCCCCAGTGCCAATGTGCTTTTTGGAGGGGGTTTAGGACCGGGGGAGGAGGGGGAGTTTGGGGAGTATTTTTTTAATCAGATAAATTATTGCTGGGAAAGCAGCCACTTCTCTCCATTCAATTTGTACTCTATGGGGAATCCACCTAATACCCCTGCTCCGAGTGTGAAGCAGGACCAGTGAGATGCTGTATCCAACCAGGGAGGAAGGCAAAAGATGGGATGGAGTGCAGGGAATGAACAAACAACGGGAGGAAGGGGCTCTGGGAAAGCCTGCAGAGAACAAGGAAAGCCAAGGGGGTGTGTGTGCACCTCCTCAGACACGGGGGGAGGGAGGAAAGGGGTTTGCTTGTTCTGCTGCCAAATTGGAACAGGCTCAGCATGGCATGGGGTGGGATGAGATAGGGTGGGATGGGAGGGGATGGAAAGGCTTGGAGCCACAAGGAGATTTTCACCTGTGGGGAGGTGAGGCAGTTCCAGGCAGGATGGATGATCCCATTGGGCACTGCTGGAGTTTGCAAAATGAGTTTAATGATTTCACACCATTCCCCAGTGGAACTGGGGATGTGCCAGTTCACCTCACCACTGCAGCTGGAACTGGTGGAGAGAAACCAAGGAGTGGGAGCAGCGATGGCTCCCAGCACACAGGGTTCCAGCCGTGCCTGGGAATCCTGCCCTGCTGCCTGGACACACCTTTCATCCCAGTTTGTGTTCCCTGCTCCTTGCAGGCTCCATTGACTGAGGCTCCATCTCCACACCTGAAGTGCTGTGTCCCAGGGAGCTCCTTGTCCAAACAGGGACACAGCCGGAGGGGGGGAGTGGAAACAGGTGCTCAGAGGAGGGAAGTGATTTCCCTGAGCCCTCAGAGTGAGTCAGGGATCAAACCCAGCCCAGAACCCACTGCCCCATGCAGGACTTGTTCTCTTTCATGTGCTCACACTGATTTAGTCCAGAGGCTTCCCACTCCAGCACTTCCCAGTGACTATTAATGCACACGGAGTTTTGAAAGAATTACAGGGTAATGGCACCTGAATGGGTGTCGTGGTGCACTTTCCTGGCCTTTTATTCTTCTTTATAACAAAGAATTAAAAGCTTTAGTGGGAGAGCTGGCAGTAAGCTCAGGAGACAGGGAGACTTCTGAGGATGATTTCCCAGATTCTGGGAGTGACTACAGTACAAATTATGGTGGAAAATAAAGGAACTGACTCAGCAGGAGGCAAAAGGGAACAAGTGGAAGAGTAACTCTGCTCTGGAAAGCTGTGAGGAGAATACCACACAAAGCAGAAAAGAGAAATAGGGCCAAAAAAAGAAATCAGACGTGTATTTCAGAGAGATTCCCTCTGACAGCCTGACTGTCCAGAAACTGCTGAGTGAGGGAACTGGGCCTTACACAGAGCCCAGGGATTTTTGGCCCAAAACAAACAAAAGAGATGCTTTTAATCAGAGCTCATTTTCATCTGCCATCCAGGCCACAGGCTCTCACCAGTCCCCCACTCTCTCCCAGTCCAAGCAGTGTGAAAGTGTCATTCCTGACATTACACCTTCCTTTCCCAGGCAAAATTAATGCTTGAAGCAACACTGATCTGAACACATAATTAAACCCCCTCTAGCCCACCTACCAAATAAACTCATTTCCAGACTCCAATTAACCTCTGAGGTTATTACTTGGGATAAGAGATCTCCCTAGAAATGCCAGAACTGCTCATGTCAGGATGCAGTGAGCCCACTTGTTCTGCAAGTGTCAGGTTATGGGGATCACCTTAACCTTGGATCTTTGTCCAGCTGAGAGAGTCTCGGGAATAAAATTAATAACTTTTTGGCATTTTCTCCCTTTCTAAGAAATGGAGAAAGTGTTATCTCTTCCGCTCATAATTTTTCCTTGTATTTTGAGTCCCCAGACATACGTACTTTGTTAAAGCACTGCCTATTTCAGAGGCTTTATCCAGGACTGGATGAACTCCAGTGATAGGTATCCAAGCTGCTTTGTGCATTTAGTTGTCCCTAAATGTCTATTTTGGAATCTGTTCCAGATTCTAATCATTTTACATTAAGACTCAAGGACTCAGTAACCTCTCCTCTCCCAATCTCAAAAAAAAAATAGAAACACCAACCCTTCAACCCTGGATCAAGCACAAACCTCTCCAAAATCCCAGCCTGGAGCCATCTTTCATCGGTCTCTGTTCTCCGTGACTCCTGCACTCCACAGGATCTGCAGAGTCTCCCTATCCAGGGAAAGAACACACATGACATGAATCAGGACCTTTTCTTGACAGAACAAGGTGGAGGGGCTGCTCTTGGCCAGCAGCTTCACATTAAAGTGCTGTTGAAGCCTCTCCAACATTTCTGGAGCTCGGCTGGGCTGTGGGAGTTCTGGGCTGCTCCGCTCTTCCACGCTGGTTATCATCCTTCATTTCTTCTGCACCTGACACCACGTGGTCTCTAGAAATCCCTCTGGGCTCAATAAATTCTGGAACTGAGCCTCCTTAGTCTGCCTTTTTTTCTCCCACCAGTGGGGACTCTACTCTGGCTTTCTTTTTCCTCCATCCAGCTGCAAACTTTCGGGTGATTCGTGGGAATTTTCTATCAGTGAAGTTACTCCCAACTCCGACTGACTGACAGTTTCAGAAGGAATTCAAGGGGAGGGAAGAAGGGCAGGAAAACCATAGGATACCTCTGTAGAAACCAAGACTAGCGCAAAAGGGCTGCTAGAAATCTTGTTTTCATCACCCACAAATTCCCTGATGCTGGAAAACGTACCCCGCTTTCCTGTCTTCTCCAATCTGCTGCAAGTTCCAACACGAGCGGGTCGCGCTGGGAATGGCCGACTGTGCCAGGACTCGAGGGCCGCTGTGCCGGCGCCGCCCTCCCCTCCCCACACGGACACATTGCAGCCCAGACAATGAAAACGGCTCCGTGTTTACCGACCATCCTGCTCCTCCCCGCTCCAACAGGGCCTCTGTGGCAGAGCCAGAGCTCTGCTGTTTACAAGCCCATCTGCTGCTGTTGCTTCCCCTCACCTGGAGCTCGAACGCTCCGCTCGGGATATCGCTCGCCCGGGATATCGCTCGCCGTTGTGGTGGGAACTGCAAGGAGCAGCCGAGGATTTCGGGTGGTAAGTGAGCAGCAGGAAGAGAGGAATACAAATCTGTTCTCATCTCAAGACCCTAAAAATAATTAAAAAAAAAAAAAGGACCAGATGAAAGAGGAAATTCCAAAAAGCCAGTGATGTTTTCAGCTGCACAGTCATTCCAAGGACAGTTTTTCTCATATTTTCACGAGAATTTGAACATTTAGAACCAGAAGGGAAAAAGCACAAGCATTCTTGAAATTACCAAGCTTCCCTGAAATTACCATGATCCCTCTGGTCTCTGCAGTTTAAGGTCTCTACAGGAGCTACAAGCCTCCACTTTGCCCAAACCTGTGCTGCTCATGCGAGCTCTCCACACAGTTTAACTCAAGGCTACATTTTTCCAGGAGTCAGGGAGGACCCTTGGGAGTCAGAAAGAGATTGGGAATGTCTGCATGCCCTGAGGCCTTCAGTGGGGTGCCCAGAGATTGCCCTGCAACCCAGAGGTGCTGTCCTCACAGCCTGGGCCTGCAAGGGCTGCCAGAGGCACTGGGGAGGCTTCTCTCTCCAGAGGCTGATGGATTCAAAGCACTCTCCGTATCCCAGCTCTTTGCCAGACAGCCAAGCACAGTGTGCAACATGTCTGGGCAGGCTGCAGACACTGCCAGGCTCCTGCCAGGCAGTGGGAAGCAGACAGGTTGTGGATCACGGACATGGTGTGGCTGGAGTGGGAACCGGGATCCCCACGGCTCTGTCGGGCCCCAGCCCTGCACTGCTGCATCCCAGTCCTGCCTGCTCCCAGCTGCAGCCTCCCAGTGCAGTGTTGGTGTCTGGCTGGGGAAAGAAAACAGAAGTTGTTGCTGTTCCTGGGCCCTTCTCAGAGTCAGTGAAAATCAAAAGAGCCCAAAGAGCCGAACTGCCCCAATCACAAAACATCGGTGGCCAAAGTGTGTTTGCTCCCTCTCATTCTGCCTTTCACACCTGGAGTTGTTATTCCAACCAAGAACTGGCTAAAGGAGCAGCAGCAGCATTTGGAATGGTCTCTGCTGTGCCAGGGGCTCTGGGAGGCCCAGCCTGGCCAGAGATCCCTGCCATTCCATGTGGGAGCGCAGATGGGGCATGTCACAAACAAACACCCACAGAAACTTCACCCTCTGTGTGTGGACAATGACTGAGGAGGAGCAGGAAGAACTGGAATGTGGAAAGGATGGATTCTCAGGGAGGAAAAGCCCTCCACATGTTCCTTCCACCTGTCCCTCTGACAGCGGATCACAGTGGATCTGCTGCACCAGTTCTCAGCCAGGAATGTGCCCAGTTTAGGGAGGAACTGCTGTCCCACTTGGCAACTCCCTGGCCCTGCCCTACCAGCTCAGCACAACTGCACAGATCCCATCCCAAGTCTGGAGGCTGTTGGGAAGGGAGGCTGCATCTCCTGGGAGGGGAGGAGTGGCTGAGGCACCCACTGTGGCCAAGGCAGCTGCTCTGCCCCAACAACCCGGGATAACACTCCCTTGGCTCTGCAACACCAATGTCCCTTCCCCAAATGGTGTGTGGGTTGGGATTACCTCTTTGTGAGGACTTCATGGTGCAGAGTGCCAGCTGAAGATCCCAGATCTGCTCTGAGTGCCGAGTCAGTGCTGGTTCAGCTTCCTCAGCCCCAGCAGAACTCAGGTAAACTCCCTGATTCCCAGACAGTCACAGTGGAGCCAGCAAGGTGCTGGGATGTCCTGAAAACATAATGCTCAGTGGGTGAGGGGAGAAAGACCGAAATTAGACTTTGCAAAAAGTTCCTGCCTCGTTCACTCCCAGGAATGGTTCTGTTTCAGCTGAACTGTTCCTCGGAGTAGCTGTGTTTAAACCCAGTGCTGCAGCTCTGGGGGCCTGGAGCGGGACCTCTGAGCACACATGCTCCTCATTAATGCTAATCCAGGAGCAGCAACGATGGAGAGCAGAACCTTGGAGAGGATTAAGTACACAGACACCGCCTCACGGGGCTGGGATGCAGGGAGGGATCCAACCTGAACCTCCTCCAAAACATGCACTCAGATCTGGTTGCTCTGGTTTGGACCCAACTCTGGCAAGATGGAAAGAGCTGAGGGAGATGGTGAAAGAGAGGAGAAGGAAAAAAGGAAAACAGTCTGTTCTCTCAGCCCCCCAAAAAGCAGCGTTTCACCACTGGGGCTCTCAGTGTGCACAACAAACTTGTCTCCCTTCCCTCACTCCCGCTTACATTGTTCACTTTCCTGCAAATTGTTTCCACATTCTGTATAAATAACCCCGGTGCCAGCGAGGGGGAGGGGGAGTGCGGGAAGGGGTGGGAGGAAATCCAATGGCTTTGTTACTTTGGAGGAGAAGGTGGAGGATGGTGAGGAGCGTTGGAGCTGCAGCCCCGGCAGACGGAGCTGAGAGTTGCCATCGAGCTTGTGCTCAGACCTGGAGGAAGAAGAGTAAACAAGGGGGAGATTATATATAATTATAGACAATCATGTTGCCGGGGATAAACAGGAATCAAAAGCATGGAGGCACTGGAGTCTGGCACATCCCCAAGCACAGAACAGAAGCCAGCGAGAGGCAACGCGGCTGCAACGCGCTTCCCTTCGGGCCTGGTTTCACTTAGCTCAGGGCTGGGGTTTTTTTTCCTCTCTTTTTGGCTGGAGGCATTCCCCCATAAAGAGAGGAGCCCATCCAATGGGAAACAGAAGCCAAACTGAAGTCAGCAGAATCCTTGTCTGTGACATTAATAGATTATTACCCTGTGAGAAACGTCAGAAACATTTGGAAA